TCCCATGCCATACTGTCAGCTAATCCACTCACGTGTGTCTCAAAGCAGAGAGAGTAGCTGAAGCCTCTTTGGGGGCCTGCAGATGACGTGGGAGAAATCACCATGGAGCAGCCCCTGCCATCTTCATGGCTCTTCCTTCTTCCCCAGGTCCTGGGCCCACCTCTGGTCTCAGCAGAGCTAGAATCAGGGTAACTGCCATAGTGAGGGAACGGCTGCTGGACATGGGCAGCTGCCCTCAGAGCTGACCTTGTTCCCTTTGTGGCTGGCTATCCCTGCTCACAGAGGTGACGCCACCCCACCCCACCTGGGACCCAGATTTCTTTATGAACGTGAAAGTGGAGACGGCTGGGAATACACTGTGCGGAGGGCATAACATGAATCAAGCCTTAAATAAGGGTGGGCACCTTATTTTTCCCAGATAAGAAAACTGAGGCAAAATCTGGTGACTGCTGGGGGAGAGACGTACACAGGTCCAACTGCAGATCCTAGAGGAGATTGTCCCCAGGATGCTGGACGCTGGCTGGGCTTCACAGGGTAGCAGCCTGCGTGGAGGGTCCTTGAAACACACCATGCCTTTTAGACTGGCCTGTGTGGCTGAGCCCTGGGCTGCTACTCAGAGCGGGCCTCATTCTGGTGCCTGGTCTGGACACCAGCTCGACTGCCCCTCTGTCTGCAGGTCTCCGGCCTGGCTTCCTCCTTCCTTCTGATGTGTCCTCCTGGGTTCACTTCCCTGAGAGACCTCCCAGGCCTCAGGTCCCTGCCTCTGCACAGATTTCCCCCTGATGGGCAGGGATTCTCCCCTCTTGGGGAAATAATTGCTTTGGTTGATCTGGCCCCTTCCCAGTGTCTCCCTTTGTGAAATAGGGAAGGAGAGGGAGGGAAAGAAGGAAATTCTTGAGCAAAAATGATGTGACAAATTGGCTGATTTTTATTACAATCACTAGAAAGTTTCATGGAGGCAGCTGGGGCCCCGGGGAGGGACACTGCAGGGAGGCAGTTGGGCTGCCACTTTTACTGGTTTGGCCCAGGGCCTTGAGCCTCAAATTCCTCGCCCTTAAAATGGGGGTGAGTGTACCTCCTCTGTTTGCCTCAGAGAGGTGAGAAAATCCTGCTAGGGAATCTCTTAAGATTGACAGGATTGTGCGAAGTTTGGGGGGCCCTGGTTTCCTTGGCAGGGCTGTTGAAAAAGAGCACTTCTCTCATTTTTTTAGTCTAAAAACCAAACCTCTTAGCTCACAGAAGACACTGTGTTGCAAAGTCCCAGCTTTCAACCTGTCCCACACCATGAAGCCTCCCGTTTCACTTTAAGGCCATCTTTTCTAACAAAGTGCACCGCCAGATTTTAGCCAAGACCCCAGGTGTGGCCTCTTTGGGGRCAACTCAGTCTCCCAACCCACCTGCCTGTGACACAGGCTTGACATCTGCTCCTCACCCCGAGAAAAGTTTCAGCGTCCTCAACCCTGGTTTCCCCTGGCGATGCCAGATTTGAAGGGGGTCTGTGTGTCAGGCTCTAGCACCTTCCTTCCCTGACCCCAGCGACTGCCCGTAGAGGTCTGCCCAGCCACCACACCCTTCCCTCCCCTCGGCAGTGCCTCTCAGGATCTACCCCCTGACTTAATAAAATAGCATCTTTCTTGTTTCTTTTCTTGTTTAGTGTGATTTTATTTCCACTGACTACAACTGGGAGGGCTGATGAGACTGGCAGATTTTAGGTCCAGAGATGAAGCCAGGAGGTCAGGATCACACAGCTCGGGAGAGGCAGCGTTCCGCTGGCTGACAGGTGTGGAGTGCTCTCTCTGTGCGAGACACTTTCTAGAGACTTAGCACGGGCTCCTCACTTAATCTTCAGTGCACCCCTGTGAGGCAGGAAGTGCCGTCAACACCATTTCACAGACGAGGAAGTGGAGATGAGGAGAAGCTGACACTTGAATCACAGAGGGAGACCAGAGCCACGGCTGAACCCTCGTTGGACTCCACGGGCCGAGTTCTCAAAAATGGTGCCGTATAGGTGCTGCGGGTAGCGGGCTGGGTGTGGAAGGCTCTGAAGTTTCCAGAATTTGACAAACCCAGGTATGCCAAATCGAACCACAGACCCTCAAAAGTTGGAGGAGACTCTGGAGGTCCCCACTGGACAACCGATTGAACAATGTGAGTTTCGGCCTTCCAGTGGTCATTTGGCCAAGGCTGAAGCCTGTTCCATCACTGAGCAGGCATAGCCCACGGCGGTGGGACTTGCAGAAAGCACTTGCAATGATTCCAGAAAGAGAAGGCTGAGAAGGACCATCCGATTTTACTGGCCTTGATGTGCCTGGAGTCAGGCTGCAGATCATTCCAGGTTAGGGGCCTTTTGAGAAACCCTTTTGAGGACTGAACCCTCCTGAGAAACTGGTGAAAATCAGAGATGTTCTCCCCCAAATGCACAGGTAGACGCTAATTTGCTGAAGGGTAGATTATGGGCTATCAAACCTATCCAAGGACCTTGTCTAAGAATCCCTGCTGTACAGAGACCCTGCCGTCCCTCTAAGTCTTGCATGAGAAGGATGTGGGGACCCACCCGCCAAGCTGAGTGTTATTCCTCTTGGACTCTTCGCTGACCCCCTGGGTGGGTGGACTCCTTCCTCTTCCTCCCTCAGCTGTACTGTTTTCTGTGGCTGGTGTATTGCAGTGGTTTACAGAGGGTAGTCCTTGAACCAGCAGCGTCACTAGGGAACTTGCCAGACATCCAGATTCTAGGTCCCTAACCCAGACCAAAGAAATTAGAAACTGCTGGGTGGGACCAGCAGATCCTCCTGGTCATCCGTGGATCGCTCAGGTTTAGAAGGGCTACTGCATGCTGCTGTGTTCTTTAYAGCGTGTCCGCCCTACTGGATACCACACTCTGGCACATGCTAAGTGCTCAAAGAATATTTATTGCATTAAGTTTTCCTGGGTTTTTTCCCCTTGGTACCCTCCCTACAGCTCTTGGCCATGGTGACTGAGGCACTGTGTTATTTTGGGTCCAGTTCCTCTCTACTCCTAAGCTTCAGGCTTGGCTTAGGCAGAGGAAGGAGCCTGCCCTGATGGAATCAGGACATCTCCCCAGGCATCAAGGCCCCCAGCCCTGGTGGATGAGAGGCCGGCARGGAGGGGCTATCTGGCAGCACTTAGGCCCAGGGCTCCTGGGCGCCCAACTCTGCCACACTCCTCAGGCTGCCTGTGCCCCTCAATGCCTAATCCACACTAGGCTTGGCAGAGGCTGCGGCATCTCTGCCAGGGACATGCTTGCCAGGCTGGTGGGAAGAGAACCGGCCACTTTTTATTTTTGACGAATCTCCAACTTTTCGGGGTTTGGGGGAAGTGGTTAGACAATTCTTCTCAACTGCTTGTGTGTTTGTGTGTATGTGTGTGGTGGGGGGTGCTGGTGTTTGTTGGCAGGGGTGTGAGATTGTGTTTCTTAATTCCATTCCTCCCAAGTTGGGCCCAATTTCCACACATAAATTCTTCTGGGAGAGGGGTACTTACCAAACAATAACCTTGGGGAGCGGAGCTGTAGGGGAAACAGTTCTGTAACCCTTCTTGTCTCATACTGATCTGGTTGTTTAAACATGAAAAAAGAACATTTGATTTTTTTTTAAGGTGGGGGATAGAGAAAAGACACCTGTTTACTCTTAATTTCTGATGTTTTTATTTTTAAAATGTATGCTTATTGTTTTCTCTTGAGGAAGGGTAAAGACAGATTTTTGGTTGATTCCTTGTCTCCTAGATGAGCAATTCCTCCACTTTCTTCCTAAAATCCAATCAGTTGTGCCAGGTGTAGGAAGGATTCAGTAATCCTGGTAGAGACCTAGGGCAGGCCCTTCACAATTTACATTTTTTAAAAATCTGATTTTTCGGGGAGGGAGAAGAAGAGGACATAAAAACCGAAAATCTCTTTAAGCCTCCCTAAATCATTAGGAGGCAGTTTCACCAAAAAAAAAAAAAAAAAAAAAAAAAAAAAATCTGATTTTTTAGGATGTCGAAAAGATAGGTCCTCCTTCACCTAAAAGGTTGACATGGAAGCACTTTTCCAAGTTTTTCTCTTCTATACCAATGGGACTGGGGAATATTGGGGAAGGGGCTCCCCCTTCTCCACCTTCGACCCCTTCTCGTCTTCCAATAGGGCCAGTTTTTTAAACTTCAAAAAAAGATATATCATTTAAAAAAAAATCTGGCAGGGGTAGGTAGAACTAGTTGGTTCACGGGCATTTCCCATGAAAGCAACGCCTGGATTTTTATTCTTAAAGTCATCCTGACTGGGGGGCTAGAGGGCGGGCCCTGCACCCCTCTTATCTCAACCTGGGGCACTTCTGCAAACTTTTATTCCCGTCCCTGAGGCTCCTGGCCGGGGCGGCGGGGCCTGGGAATATTCCCCGCGAGCCCCCAGCCCTGCAGCAGGCCCGCTCTGGAAACTTTTATTTTAAAAGCCCATCTGATTTTGGGGGGTGGGCTGGGGAGGGGGCACCGAGTTCCCGTTAACCCCTCGMGTTCCGTCCAGAGCCGGCTCCCCAAACTTTTTTCTCCCACCCGAAAATGACGTTTCCGAGGGGCTGTTGGACCCGGGGAGGGCAGCGGGGAGCGGGGGGCGCGCGTGGGGGGTGCGGCGCGGGAAAGTTTGGGGGGCGGGCGCGCGGCGGCGGGGGCTGGCGGCGGGCGCGCCCGACCGGCCGGCTTTGTGTGCGGCGCGGAGGCCGGCGGCGCGGAGGCCGAGGCCGAGGCCCGGAGCTCGCGGGCCGCGCGGCGAGGCCGGCCGGGGGCGGCGGGGCGCGGGGGCGGCGGCGGCCCCGCGGGGGCGGCGGGGCGGCGGGGGCGGCGCGCGGGCCGGGCGGGCCGGGGGTGGGGGCGAGGGCCGGCGCCCCCCCGCGCGCCCCTGCGCCCCCGCCCCCCCGGCCGGAGCGGGGCGGGCGGAGGAGGGAGCGGCGGCGGCGGCGGCGGCGGCGGCGGCGGCTCTGGCATTGTGCGCGCACCAGCAGCCCGGCCCGGGAGGAGCAGGACGCGCCGGGGCCGCCTCCTCCCGCACGGACCCATGAACCAGCCGGGCGGCGCGGCGGCTCCGCAGGTACGAGGGGGCCGGGGGCAGGCTCCGCGCGGGGGACCCCGGGGGCCGGGGCCCGGGGCGCTGCGCCACTTGAGCGCCGGGGTGGCAGGATGCAAAGTGCCGGGGCACGTTTGCGGGCTTTTTGTGGGTGCAAACCGGAGGGCCGGGGTCCGGAGAGCCCCCCCGGGCGCTGCGGGGCGTGAGGAGGGCGGGGGTGGCGAGGGGGCCTTTGGGGGCCCCCACCCGGCGCCCCCTCCAGCCCCGGGCTCGGACCGGAGCCCAGAAAACAAAGCGGCGAGAGAACAGAGCAGCCATTTCAGTTTGGACAATTCACATTTTGCAAAAATGCAACCCCTTCCAGCTCTTCCCCCTCCCCCCCAAATTTGCAATTTCCCCCTGACCTTCCCAGCGCGGGGGTCCCTGRTGACCCCCCTGGAGATCTCGTCCCCCAGGCCCCCCATCTTTGTAACAATCTTTTTTTTTTTTTTAGGCCATATTTCCCTTTCTCAATTTTTTTTTTCTAATTTTTCTTCAAATGGTAGTTTTTTCCCATTAAAACGACGCCACCTAGAGGATACTATTTTGTAAATAAAAAAAAAAGAAATTAAAATTGAAAAGAAATATTTTTTATTTCTTATTTTTTCGAAAGTTTGCTCTACAAGGCAGTGGAGGGGAAAGCGATTCTTTTTATTTCTTTTTGGGGATGAAAATTTTCACTTTGATTCTGGCAGGGGCATGGAGACAATTTTTATTTCTGAAGCCAAATCCAGATAATATGTAAATGGAAATTAAGCTAGAATTTGAATGAATTCAGTTCTTGAAGGGAGAAAGCAAAAAACCTTCTAAAAGCAAAGTCAGTTTGACTACCCAACGMATTTTAGTTTGAGAAAAAAACTAATTGGAATGAGGGAAGGAGGGAAATTGTTGAGTTGAGGGAAAACTGGGAGAATTGGCTTTATGAAGCAATTAGAAATCGTACTTCATTGTAATTTGGAACTTGTTTAGCTCAGCGGGCAAAAATGACTAATTTTACCATTTGACAATATTTAAATTTTTCTATTTTCATGAGAGAAGGATTTAAAAGAGAAAATAGACCCTAAAATGTTGGCTTTGGACACACCCAAAAATTGTAGTTTTTTTTTTTTTTAATTTTGCATTTACATTTTACTGCATTTAAATCCTAAGATTTTTTTAAAAAAAAAGAGAAAGAAAGAAAACCCAGAAATTGTAAAAGTTAGAGTGAAAACCTGTCTTTCTTTTTTCTGTATTTGTTGGGTTTTGTGTGTGTTTTTTTGTTTTGATGGAATAATTAAGACTGTTTTCTGATTTTGTTTCCTGAAAGGTCTAGCCATTTCTTTTATGTTGTTGTTTTATCCAGAAAATGTCAGGAACCTTTATTGAGCAATATTCAGTGGAAAAAAATGTAAATTCATATATTATACAAATTGAGTAGCCCACAGATTTGTAGGAGAGACCGCCATTAAAATAAGATATGCATAATTAACATTATTATGAAAAAACTAACAGTAGATTCACAGAAGCCCATTTTTTATGACATGCAACTGAATCAATTGATGGAGACAAGGATTGAGGAATCCTTGGTAAGAAAGAAAATTTTCCTTTTCTATGCTGTTCACTCTTTCAATTTGAAAAATTTATTATTAAAAAAAAATCCAGATTGGTTTCTGGCCTCTTTGATTGTAATGTGGGGTTGGTAGTTGATTAGCATTAGGTATTTTTCAGAAATTTGATTACTTTCAGAGGGGGAAGAAATCCATTAGCTTTGATCATTTGGGGGGGGTGTTGTGACAAAAAAAAAGCACAAATTTTATTGACTAAACAAAAAATATATATATATCTTTTTATCAAGAGGGAAGGACTGAGAGATGAAAATTCTGATTCTTATTCATCTTCCATGGTAGGACACTTTGCTGAAGAATTAGGTTAAAACATAAATTGAGCTGATGCTAGCAGCAAAATTATTATTTTTTAAAAAAGGAAAATAAAAATCACAATACATACAAAAGCCAAACCCAAAGGAATGTGCCTTTGGTATAGAAAAGCATCAGTACAAACAATATATCATGTGGAGTTTTTGGCCTTAAAATGAATCAAGTGAAGGTGAAACAAAAAAGAAAAAAAAATTTTTTTTTTTAGATGACAAATATTGACTGAATTGAAATTTGACAGATTAAAAAAAAAAAATAAGCTTCCTACCCAAAGAGAAAGGGTAATTTGTGATAAATTGAACTTGCTGGGAATTTTGAGCCCCTTTCCCCAACACCCCCCACAAAAAAGTTGTAATTTTTCTGTCTAAAAGAAGTCCACCAGTAGCATTTGTAGGGTGGGACTTTGGGTGGGTCACATGGGGCAAGGATAGGAGATCCCTAGAACCCCATAGCCAGCTCCCAGCTGGTCTTGAAGAACGGTTGGCCCCAATCCTGCTTTCTGAAATTGGATTTCTGAAGATTTACTAACTCTGTGGCGTAGGGTTGACATTTCCCATCATCGCCATTGCATTTGGAAGATTTTATTTTTTTAGTAACCAAATCCTTTAGGGCTGATTGGCCATATTCAGGCATATTTCATATTTGGAATGAGCTTTTTTTTTTTTTAAGCAGCATAATTAAAATTTTTTTTTTCTGTTGAATTATTTAGGCCGATGCCTAGGACGGTCAAGGAATTTATAATTTCCAAGGGGCTCTGGAGGCCTCCAGAGATAGTAGGCCTGAGTTCAGCCAGGGATGGAGGAGGATTGACTGGGGCTGGTGGGTTGGGATGGGGCATCTGAGAGCAAGTTGGGGTTGTAGATAACAGGTTCTTTTGGTGCAAGGAATAAAAATGTTGCAGCACATCTCTGTGTGTGTCCTGGAATCTTCTGACACACAACTCAGATGCCTTCTTTCTATTCTGCTTGAAATTTTGTTCTCTTGTCAGTCTAAAAGGACTAAAATTTGAAAGTCATTTGTTTTTGTAGACCTGTGTTTTGTTTTGTTTTGTTTTGTTCCCCCCTCCCCCCCTTTTTTCACAGAATTGGTTATTCTGGTCATGTTTGTTGTAAAGGAAACAGAAGTGCATGATGGTCCTGCGGGGCGGGGCTAGTTTCCTTTTGTTTCTATTGGTGTCTCTGGATTGAAATGTGACCCAGGCCCTGTCTCTCTCACCTCCTCTTTTAGATGGAAGTGTGTCCAGAAATGGATATAGGAGCTAATTTTTCTAAGCCCGGTCTGTTCATCACGTTTTCTTATAATATTGGGCAAAAGATCTGGCAAATTGGACTTGAGGGGTGGTAATTTGATGATGGTCTGAGTTATTTTGGTGAAAGATCATTTATACTCAGTTCCACAGTGGAGACTCTTATTACTTAATGTTTTGCTTTTCTGCCTAAGGAGGTTCTTACCCCCCTCCTCCTCTCTAATAGGTTTGAAATTTCAAGGGCTTGCTTTGTAACTTGACTTTGGACCAAGCTAGGAAAAGGGCTTGCTTATACTCTTAGCCCTGCACCGAGGCGAACTTGAACAAGGGTTCTTGCTTTAGCAGGAGAGCTACAAAGATGGCTGGTCAGCGTGAGGCTGACCTCTCCCTGGTGCTAGAAGATAAACACCAATGGCCTGTTTCAGTGGAGGCATAGTTTTAAGCTCCTCCAATGTCAGTTTTTTCCCTGTCTTTGAGTCAGCTCTTGGCATGACTGCGTCCACTGACCTCAGATTCCTTATCTTCTCTTCGGTGGGCGACAAGAAGTTCTTCGCCGCGTTCCACGGCSTGTACATAAGCTTTTTGTGGTTATAGGAAATTTTCAGTTTTTCCATGTTCTTATGATGTTTCATCTCAGTTGTGTCTCCTTTCTGGGGATGTAAAGAAGTAGTTTTGTGGATACTCAGCCGGAGCCTCTCAAGGTCTTGCTCTGTGACCTTGGGCAAATCACTTTTTCCTACACAGCCTCAGGAAACAATGATTGTGTTTGCAAAATGAGCACTTTGGACCAAATCAAGGATAGCAGTAAATAGATTTCATTTCTGATTCTGACTCCAAGGAATTGCTTGTGGCTGTTTGGGTCACTGTGTTCAGAAGGATTCCGAGGTCACATTCCAATTCCCAAATTCTGGAAAAAGGTGCGGTGGTCAAATGGCAGTGAAGATCAGAGTGAGGAGAGCATCTCTTAGTGATGGTAAGCAGAGTAGACCATCGCTGCCCCATTGATGGATTGTGACATCAACTTGGTGTGTCATGATTAACAATAAAAAGAGAATAAAGTAGAATAGTATAGGAGAGAGACAGAAGTAGTTAAGGTGCAGCCTGGGGCACAGGTGGGTATTGTCTGGTGGAACTTTGCTCTATTCGTCTTTGCAGTTGTGTGTGTGTGGTGTGAAATACGTTGTCTGAATGGTATTGGACAAAGTGAGCCACTGTGATGTGCCACAAGAGTGCCACGTTATTGCTTATGCTTTTGTATTTATGAGTCAGTTGACTTTAGGTGAACCCTGTGGGGTAGGTGTGTTGTGCCACCTGCCCCTGGTTGAACCCTCTGTCAGGGCCACCCAACTTGCTGGCCCTTGGAGGGGACTGAAAGGGCAGGTGCTAGTTGGAGGCAGCATCTTTGCTAGGTCCCCTGTCTGGAGAGGAGATTGAAAGTGGTGCAGAGTCCCCACCATGGTGGGAAGGAAGCTGTTACAGTTACTTTGATTCTCCATTTTTACTCCATATTGCCAGAGAAAGTTTTCTGGAGTTGGTCTGCATCAGAGCTGTATTTAAGTTTTAATCAGCTTGGGTGTTGGGGCTGTATTTCTGTGAATGAACTTCCTCCCAAACTCCAGAATTGCTGTCTTCATCTCCCTGTCTTTTAAATGTGTGAGAATGGTATGGTCCAACGGAAATGCAGTTCAGACCACCTATTCAAGCTACACATGCTAAATTCCTGGGAACCTATTTTTTTTTTTTTTAAAGCAGCAAGTGACATTGACTTTAGTAAAGTGCGTTTGTTTAACCCAGTATATGTACAACACTATCATTGCAGCACGCAT